CAATTGGGGAGGGGTATGGGGAGAGTGGAGGGCAACCAAACCTTCACATTGTTTCCTTGTGTGACTGCTTTCATCATCACCTATTTATATGAGTTTATTCAATGCTTTAGGCAAATTTTGTAAGCTTGAAAGGGAAGTATATTCAAAACATAGACTTCGTTTTGCATAAAACAAATAATTTAGGAAAATAATTTATTCTGTTGTTTCTTAAATACAACAAAACTGTAGACACAATTTCCTTTCTTTTAACATTTTGAACTTGGTGCACTGTGCAAAAATGTTAGTGGCAAAATTGTTAATTTCCTGTTCAAATTTTCTCCTTGATAAGATGTGAATTCCCCTCTGTCTTTTCAGTTAGCTAAAACACTGAAGTTGCGTTTGGATATGATTGTTCATTTCAGGAGGGCTTGAGCTTTAGAACCTAAGTGCTGCACACTTAGAAATCACACTCACTGAAGGCACCAAGGTGTATTTTTACAACCTTTCCTAGAAACTTGAATCTCTCGCAACTCCTATAAGCTCTGGCAGCCCTAAATTTTAAAATATATGCTTGTCATCCACTACAATGAAGCCCGTCCTTTTTTTGTTTTTCTTTCTTATTGATAGCATTTATTTTTAACTCAGGGTGGCAGCAAACCATAGCTAATTTGTTCTTTGGCAGTCTTTCTTAGATTTCTTTTCAGATAGATATAGATCGGATCCAAATGAATAAGGAGATTATAAAACTGCGAAGCACAGAAGAAAGTGTCTGAAGGTGGATGAAAATGGTTGACCCAGGGCTGTTAAGGATGGCTTCAGTGTACAGGAGAAAGATAGACCTCACTTAGGTGTTTGGGATACTTGAGAATATTTCTAACTACAGTCCTTGCCCGCAGATTAGCAAGAGGCACGTGCTGGCAGGCACAGGGATTCCAGCTCTGTTAAATTTTGTCTGTATTAAAAGTCCCTATTTTCCCCCGTGTCTATATTCTTTCCCTATGTCTGTAATGGTTCTGCTGGCAGGTGTACTCACAGCAGTAGCCAGTTATAATCACCAGGTAGATATTCAAATGCAGTGAACTCTGCCTAACAGAGGTTAACATGCTGTAGGAGAGAAATAAAATAGCAGATGCTTCTGTTCGCTTGATCTTTATACACATATAAAGTATTACCTTGTTCAGTTTTTTTCTGCTTGCAGGGTCTTGTTTTTATTGAGATGAAATGTGGAGATCAAGGAAAAAAGGAAACAAGAATGTTTAAGCACAAACAAATCCATAAGCCATCTCCTCACAGGTTATGCCACAGCGTGGGCCTATTCAGCAAGCAAGAGTTTAGATTAGCACTTCAGTAGTTACTATGTTGTTGGATACTCTTGTTTGAAATATGACAGAATTCCTATTAATATTTCTGCTATAAAGTTGGATCATAACTCTAGCTAGGGTAAAGTTTCTGTAGTTGCAGAAATGTGGATCTACATATATAGAAGATTTGACAATGCTATTTGCATAAGAAATGAAAAAAATAGATGCACATGCAAGTTCTAATTAATTACAGGATGCAAGTACAGAAAAGCTTAAGAAACCACTTTTTCACTTGCCACAAGTCTCATAAAAATAAATAAGACCTAGAACTCTGTAATTATTATTAGGAACAGAAGTGCAGATTTAAAATGTAGCTGTAAGAACACTTAACTTGTACGATTACTGTTGATGTGCTCTGTCCTACTCAATGTTGGTTATGGCTGATTTGCCCAGAGAAGCTGTGAATGACCCATTCCTGGAAGTGTCCAAGGCAAGGTTGGATGGGGCTCTCAGCAACCTGGTCTAGTGAGAGATGTCACAGAATCATCTAGGTTGGAAGAGACCTCCAAGATCAGAGTCCAACCTCTGACCTAACACTAACCAGTTCTCCACTAAACCATATCACTAAGTTCTAAATCTGAACATCTTTTAAAGACCTCCAGGAAAGGTGACTCAACCACTTCCCTGGGCAGCCTATTCCAATGCCTAACAACCCTTTCAGTAAATAAGTTATTTCTAATATCCAACTTAAACCTCCCCTGGAGCAACTTTAGCCTGTTCCCCCTTGTCTTATCACCAGGCACATGGGAGAATAGACAACCCCCACCTTACAGCCTCCTTTAAGGTACCTGTAGAGTGCAATAAGGTTGCCCCTGAACCTCCTCTTCTCCAGGCTCAACAATCCCAGCTCCTTCAGATGTCTCTCATAAGCCTTGTTCTCCAGACCCCTCACCAGCTTCGTTGCCCTTCTCTAGACTCACTAGTGCACCTTGATGTCCTTCTTGTAGCGAGGGGCCCAAAACTGAACACAGTACTCGAGGTGCGGCCCTACCAGAGCCAAGTACAGGGGGATGATCACTTCCCTGGCCCTGCTAGCCACACTGCTGCTTATACAGGCCAGGATGCTGTTGGCCTTCTTGGCCCCCTGAGCACACTGCTGGCTCATATTCAGCTGACTATCCACCAATACTCCCAGGTCCTTCTCTGCCTGGCAGCTTTCCAACCACTCATCTCCCAGCCTGTAGCTCTGCTTGGGGTTATTGCGCCCCAGGTGCAGGACCCGGCACTTGGCCTTGTTGAACTTCATACAGTTGGCCTCAGCCCATCAGTGCAGCCTATCCAGATCCTCCTGCAGAGCCTTCCTGCCCTCAAGCAGATCGACACATGCACCTAACTTGGTGTCATTTGCAAACTTACTGAGGGTGCACTCAATGCCCTCGTCCAGATCATCGATAAAGATATTAAAGAGAACTGGCCCCAGCACCGAGCCCTGGGGGATGCCACCAGTGACCGGCCTCCAACTGGATTTGACTCCATTTACCACGACTCTTTGGGCCCGGCTATCCAGGCAGTTTCTAACCCAACGAAGCATGCGCCAGTCCAAGTCAAGAGCAGCCAGTTTCTTGAAGAGAATGCTGTGGGAAACGATGTCAAAAGCCTTGCTGAAGTCAAGGTAGACCACATCCACAGCCTCTCCCTCATCTACTAAGCACGTCACTTTGTCATAGAAGAAGATCAGGTTCATCAAGCAGGACCTGCCTTTCATAAACACATGCTGACTGGGCCTGATTGCCTGGTTGCCCTGCAAGTGCCGCGTGATGACACTCAAGATAATCTGCTCCATGAGCTTCCTTGGCACTGAGGTCAAACTGACAGGCTTATAGTTTCCTGGGTCTACCCTCCAGCCCTTCTTGTAGATAGGCATCACATTTGCTAGCCGCTGGTCAACAGGGACCTCCCCTGATAGCAAGGACTGCTGATAAATGATGGAAAGCAGATTGGTCAGCTCTTCCGGCAGTTCTCTCAGCACCCTCGGGTGGATCCCATCCGGCTCCATCGACTTGCGTACACCCAAGTGCTGTAGCAGGTCACCAACCATTTCCTCATGGTTTGTGAGGGCCATATCCTGCTCCCCATCCCCTTCCACCGGCTCAGGGTACTGGGTATCTAGAGAATAACTGGTCTTGCTGCTAAAGACTGAGGCAAAGAAGGCATTAAGCACCTCAGCCTTTTCCTCATCTCTTGTAACTAAGTTTCCCCCTGCATCCAGTAAAGGATGAAGATACTCCATAGTCCTCTGCCCATGGCAGGACCATGCCAATATCCCTGCCCATGGTGGGTTTGTGTATGTGTGTGTAATTAAATGATCTTTAAGGTCCCTTCCAACCCAAACCATTCTGTGATTCTAGGGTTACAATACTGACTTAAAAAAAAAAAAAAAAAAAAAAGCATAGTGTAAAATGCAGAATAATATTCAACATAAAACTGAAGCAGGCTACATATTCATCTGGGGTGATGCTAATTAGTAGACAGTCAATTTATTTCTCCAAAGGTCTTAAAAAGTCTATTTTAAAGGTAAAAGACCTAGTGTTTTTAAAAACTGTGTACCTAATTTTAATTAGATGAGCAGTTCCCTTGAGCTATCTGCTAGAATCAAAAGAATTCCATAAAGTTAAAAAAAATAGCAAAAATGAGGATGACTTTCACCTTCATTTATTATTTCTTTTTTAGTTTACTGGGAGATCATGCTTTCCCAGATGAAGAGTTAATGAAGAACAAATTTAACCAAACTCTGGCCTGTCAACATTCCTGCTTGTGTTCCCTGTGATCCTGTCTGAATGCAGGGTCTTCACAGACAGTTAACTGCCTTTTATCAGAAACCTTCATAATGAGGGCTTTTTCTAAATAAACTTTGGTACTTAACATTCAGAAAACCAAGTCTGTTCTGAATGCACGAGGAGAGCTGAACAGCACAGTGCACAGATACGTTAGGTGTATGCTTATGCCCTAAGCTCATGGGGCTGGTAGAAGAATCCCACAGAGCACAAACCTGCAGAGTAGGACAGCAGAAGGCATGGGTACACCTTTCTACTCTGCTGTCTAAGAAACAGCTGTAGAGCAGAAACCTGCCTACTGTACCAGTTCTGCAGTTTGTTATTATCAGACCAAAAACAGTAGCCAAAGATCAGGTAGATAAAAAATCTGTGAAGATTTGGAGGCTTATTCTTAGTGCAAGGTAAATGTCTAAACAGTGGAGACTGCAATAATAGAACATTGTTGAGGTCTAATTGCAAAATCAATATAGGAAGTTAGGTACTATTGGTGTAAAAACAGGTTTTCATATACTGAACAAAAAAACAACTGATGGAAAGTGATCTGGATCATGGATAAAGAAAAACAACAACGAGCTTGTGAAATTCCTAATGCAGAAAATCTGGAAGTTTTGCATCTACTTCACTAATCAGAAGGAGAAAAGAGTAGCAATATCTATTTTATGTCACTGCTGATTACTCACAGGTGATGAAGGGAAAGTAAAATGTTAAGTAACTATCTCCTCTTAGCTGAGTCACAATCATCTCTTTTTAAACTTCAAGAAAACAATCTGCCTTTCTCTCCCAGGGAGAGAGAATTACTCTAAAGGCTCTAAGTAAGTACTAGCAATGCACATAACAACTCTTACAGTGCCTATATAAATTTATGTAGTATAGCTAGTGATCCTACCTGCTGGCTGTTCTTTGCAGTAGGCATGACTCTCCAGCTGTAACGCTGAAGTTGCACTGAGGTGGCTGTTGTTACCAATGTTATTTGATGCTGCTCCCTTTTTATGAGGAAAGAGGAAGATGTTACCACATTACTAGGCACACCTGGCCTCCCAAACTCATGACAATGAAAGTAAACATTGCTAGTATACAATGATAACAACAGCTCTTCTTATGTCAAACACGGAGATGCAAATAGCAAACATTTACCTGTAGCAGTAATGGGATATACAGTTACTAGAAACAGACAACCAGCAGCAATGTACTTTAGATGTGAATATAGTTTCTAAATTAGCTTTTCAAATGATTGCAGTAGAATGAATATTCAGTAGCTGCATCAGCAACTAACTCTCCTTTCTTACTGGAAGGAGTTACATGCCTCATACCTGCTTTCCCCAGCTGTAAGAAATCCTTAATAAACTTCCCAGAGTGCATGTATGCAGTCTAAGTGCTCTCTAAAAGGCTTAGATTTCTGAACAAACACTGTCCATTTATCTTCACAGATAAATTCAAGTTTTGGTGCACAGCATGTCAGCTTTAATTTTGTGTTCATTTAAGGGAATTATTCTGTATTTAGGGTGTAAATGTTGCATCACCGTGCTTTCTTAGGTAACTTGCCTTTGGGGCTTTTTGATATAAAACATCTCACTCAGTATGAATTATTGCAGTTCAAGCTACTTTGAACAAGCCGAAGATATGCCCAACCTTTTCATTTTTTTCAGGATCAGTCATATGTTTATGCAAATATTTTTTGTCCTTGGCTATCAAAATAAGTGGTTGGAGTTCTACTTTTATTTTATATATATATATATTATATATATATACATATTTTTATATATAAATGTATATTTGGTATTTCAGCATAAGTTGATATATCCATAAACATTTGGTGTCCTTAGTAGAGATTTCTCTATTTTCGCCTTAAATTTATCTTTCATCTGCAAGTCTGGTTTTCTTTGTGCTTTGTTTCTAAAACTTTCAGAAAATGTCTCTGATATCCATTTCAGTTTGATTAGATTACAAAATGACCTAAAACCAGTCAGATATCCAAATTCTACTTGTTCAAGAAAAGAGCAAATTTTGTTTCGCCTCATGCTGACCTGTAATTATTCTGGATTGCTCCAAAATTTCCTTTGTGTGTACATACTTGTCACTATTTTTGCTTTTTAAACCACCATTGTTTTTGTTAATGCTTTTATTTCTAGGAATATAATTGTGTTAAATTCCATTACATCAGTCGTAAAAAGTCCTTTATCCTTGATCTTTGTTATAATAGTAACAGTTGCTTGAGGTATAACAACCTGAAATTAAGCATGACCATAGTCAAGAAATTTTCTTGGAAATATTGTAATATGTTTCTCTGAACAAAATTGTAATATATAGTGTTGAAGGCACTGGCCTTTTTTGTCCAGATTTGACTGACTAAGGAGCAATACTAGGTCTGATACCAAACACTTCATGTACCAGGTAACTTGCAGATAGTAAGACTATTTCAGTCCCTCCTCGGCTATATTTTTTGCAAGTCTTGTCTTTGTAGAAGTCCTGTATGCTTTTTATATTCTTAAGTAGTATTTATGTTTGCCTGACAGAACATCACAGGTTTTTATTTTGTTTGCTTCTTGTTTTGTTTTCCCTTCTGCTCTAAGCAGATATGTTTATTATTAGCGTATTTCTTAGACAGTTTCACTACTTTTTTTGAACAATTCTGGTAAGTCTTGGTGATTCTGACCAGTTGTTGCACCTGTGCATCCATTTCCCTTCCTGGTAGCTTTTCAGCTTTCATGTCAGTCTGCTAAGAGGGAAATAATGCTTGAGTAGGAATACTCATAACTTATTGTTGTCTTACAAATGTTTGAGACTGGAAGTTTTGTAAGCTTCTGAATGCATCTTTTATACTGCAAATGCATGACACCATTTATTCTGCCCTTGCAACTGGCTTGCTCGTTCTGCCAGTTTATGTGCAATGATTTATTATGTACAGTCCTTTGTGTTGTAAGGTGAAACCTCCATTTCAGTGTTCCTTGAATTGAGCAGTCTTCTAACCTAGCACCTGAGTTTGAGTTTGCTGAATTTTCAACAGAATTCCCCATTTCTCCTCTGACTATTAACTCCAGGCACTGATGTGGTGACAGGTCATGTTTATATTTTCTTTGTGTGGTGGTTGGTCTGTAACTTAAAAGATCAGTGTTATCACTTACAAGTAATTAGTTATATGCGGCTGATAAGTCAGGTTATGTCCATTTCTGTGTTCATGTGGTGAAGTTTCATAGAAGGAGCAAATACAGGGAAGAGGATGCATCTCTGTATGGTATTATCAGCAGTTAAAGTATTTATTGAAGTTTGTTTCAATTCAAAACACACACGACGTCTTGATTTAAAATCCTAATGTTGTTGGTTCTGTCTGCACACCGCAACATTTTACAGTGTTTCAGAGTATCCCTACCTTTGCAGTGACTAATCCTGTTTCTCCTCTTCACCAGCAAATCTGGGTGCTTAATGTACCATGGCATTTACCATCACAGCTACAAAGGAGGACAGTGCTATTATCCCATTTACAAGTTAGGAACCTGGGGCACAAATAAGATCAATGACACACCTGAGCTCACACAGGAAGTCTGTAGGAGAACTGGGGAGTGAACTCTGGTCATTCAAGTTCAACGTTAGAGACAGTAACTTTCCTCTTTAATGGTGGACTGAAAATACTTCCTTAAACTCAGTATACATAGAGGAATTAAGCTTACAGTGCTCTCTTTGATAATTTTTTATTAAATTGCAAATTTGGGCAATGTATCAAGTTAAAGTCCATTTTTTAATCTTTTTTTTTTTGTTTGTTTGTTTTGCATTGATGACTACTCATTATCACTGAAAAGAGAGAACCTTTGTGACATATTTGCAATTGCTTTCTTACTCTTCCTTGCTCTTTTAATTTTATAATGGTATTTCCAGATTTTTTTTCTGAGATTTTCCTGGTCCTATATTGTATTTAGATTGCAGTGGTAAATCAGTATTTGACAATTCATGTAATTCTGCTCTTCCCATCAAACTAAGTTATTAGTAATTTATTGTATTATTAACATGAGAGAATCATTTTACAAGTAGTGTAAAGAGATTCATTGCTGCTACGCATAATCAATGGGATGGTAAAAATTGGGTAGAGGTAGAGGGTTCTTTTATATTGAAAAGGCTCTGCAAAGGCAGTACTGAAAAATTGTTAGTGTCAGATTCCCGACTGCATCGAATTACCGTATTATGACTCAGTTTACAGCAGATAAGTAAATGAGTAGTGTTTTGGTTTTACTGTGTTGAGAGAAGTCATTGAATCACCTTCTCTTTAGAGTATCAGGTCTCTTGTGTTCAAAAATAGGATCATTTCCTTAAGCTACTTTGTTCCATTTCTTCTCTAGATGAAAACATAACACTTCAATGGTTGCAGCAACAGAACTGATGATTAATGTGATTGTAATAAAGCAGCTTGTCCCACTGAGGACCAGCTAGCTTTGCAGTAGAAAGAGGCACACACGTGCCTGTAGCCAGTTAAGATTAACTGGGTGCAGCTGAAAGTGCACCCAGTGATAAAGTAAGTAAAGAGCTCCTCAGATGAGAAAGATGAAAAAAGAGCTAGAAGCTCCTATGAGCAGTGAAAGGGAGATCTAGAGAAGTAGCTTTCAGGGACTGTGCTCCTCTGCTAGGCGGGAGGAGAAAATAACTGCAAGTAGGTGACATTGAGTTTTAAGTCTTTGAAGGTGCTTCAGGGGTTGTGAGATGGACAGTTCTAGCTTTTGTTGAAGAACAAGAGGGACTGGGATAGCAGTGCAAAGCAATGTTGCTTGAGATGTCATCTATGAACAACTATATTTTAGTAGGTCTATACTTCTAGTCACCTTTCAATGCATTTTAACTACAACAAGGGATAGACTCTAGTCTGGAGCTCACTTGGAGATCAACTGTTACACAGTTATCTCCAGTCTAAAAGTCTAAACCGAGATCTCTCTCTCTTCTGCAAACTTTGTCTTTCCTTTGACCTATAAACTATAACAACCTGTGTTGAGGTTCTAAAAAAAAATGCTGGATTTTAAATGCCAGTTTACAGACAGTATCTCTGTACTTAAGAAATACATGTACTGCAAAATGAGCTTACAGGTCAGGTTATTCAATCAATTGCCATACCTGAACAGGACAGAGTGCTCAAGTAAGACTTACTGTGTCAAAGGACATTCTGATCACATCTCCTTTTCTTAAAATAAATCTGTAAAAAGAAAAGGGAAAAAAAAAAAAAGATAGGAGCAGTGGCAAAGTTGTGTAAGCTTGTCAGCAGTAACACACAATTTCCTAACTGTATGAAATAGCTTCCTTATTCTTAGCGTGCCAGTTATTTTTCCTTTTTCATAACTTGCTGATTCTTTTCACTTCACTTTCAGTTTATTTAGAAGGATCGATTCTTAAATACTTTTCTATCAAGAAAGTATTGCTGTCTGTTATCAGAAATATCTACAAAAATGAGACAAACCACCTGTAGCCTATTTGGTCAGGCCAGATAAACTTGTTACTGTAGCCACTAGAGGGACCTCCAGGAACAGAATATACAAACATTTGCAAAGGGTATTTTGAAATATTAAGTTTCTTTAAAAAGAAGGGGGAAAAAAAAAAAAAAGCTTTGCAGGTCAATCACATTGTCATTTGATAAAAATGAGCTCTGAAATAATAGGAAATGTGAATTAACTAATTATCTCATAGACTTCATCAAGAAAGTTCAGTTCTCCTGGTAGGATATGAGTTTAGAGGATTCTTTCCTCTTCATGGAATTAGAGAGGTCAGAACATCTGCTTACAGAAGCCTTGTTATTTAGCAGAAAAGTTGTGCTTTGATCACTTGAGGGGTACACAGCAAATATAATTATGCTCTTTTCAGAGTTGCTGAGAAAAACTAGGATTTGGATGTGATACAGACAGCCTGCAATCAACAAGCTTAGTTTCTCAGTGAATGGGATTTTAGCATAGCTTTCAATTTCTTTCAATTTTTAACAGTAGTTTAATAGCCTAATTAACAAATATTGGTGCCTCAGTACGTATGCACGTGCTTACTA